AAAAAAAAATATAAATTAAAAAAAATCTCATCAGCAGCTGGGCATGGTGGCATACGCCTGCAATCCCAGTACTTAGCAGAATGAGACAGGAGGATTGTTGCAAGTTCAGTGAGACCCTATCTCAAAAGGACAAGAAAAATTAAAAAAATTAAAAAGACAGAAACAAAAATTAACTCCTCAGCTATAGTCATATTCATCAGACAATCACAGGTTGAGTTCCCAGCCACTGAAATAATCACAATAAAGTGACTTCATGAATTTTTTGTCATGGTATATAATGATTATATTTACATTGCAGTGTGGTCTATTAAATGTGCAATGGCATAATATCTAAAAATGTACATGTGTTAAAAATACTTTTTGCTCAAGATGCTAACAGTCTATTTTTCTGCTCATTGTCTTGGCTTGATGCTGACTCTAGCTGACTAACCAGCATGGTAGCTGCTGAAGGCTACAGTGACGATGGCGTCTTATTCACATAAGACAGTGAAGTTTCACAAGACTGGTTGAGTGTTCCTCCTGAGGAATGTTTTTGTTTTTTAAACAGAGAGAAAAAAATAAAAATAATACAGAATTTTAAAACAAAATGATTGGAAATTGATAAGTTATTATATTCCATGTTATTATCTTCAAAGTAGTTGCTCAGATTACAAGATACAAGCATGCAAAATTAATCAAACAATAGAAGCACTGTTACAAATGCTTTTTGAAAGCATTTTACCATAGCAGAACTTCCTTAACATTGGAGCCTATCCTCTCAAATTCTACCACCACCTTACCAACTAAGTTTATATAATATTCTAAATCTATTATTGTCATTTCAACAGTGATCATAGAAAATTCCCAGGAATATATTCCATCTCTAAAAGTCAAGTTTCTTTGATTGTTCATAAGAAGCAACTCTTCATTTTTTAAAGTTTTAACATGGGATTACAGCAATTGCATCACGTTCCACTTACAATTGTATTTCTATGACCATTTCCTCCACTTGTCTTGGAATCTTAAAGTTGTCTAAAGAGTTAGAATCAGCTTCCTCCAAATTTCTATTAATTTTAATGTTTTGAAATAAAATCCTCTCTTTTCAGGATTTCAATTTACTTTGCAACAGATCCATCAAATGTCTATGGCTTCTATATCATTACCTGCTACTTCACCTTGCACTTTGATGTTAATAAAGATAGTTTCTTTCTTTAAATTTCACAAACCAACCTCTGCTAGCTTCAACCACTTGTGCAGCTTCCTCATGTTTCTCAGCCAGTCTTCACTGACATTCCTCCAGAGAAGGTTTGACTTAAGTGGATGCTGTAGCTCATCTGATTTTCTACCCAGACCAATAAAACATCCTTGACATCAACAAAGGCTATTTTTACCTTATAATTTGTATGTTCACTGGAGTAGCACTTTCAGCTTCTTTCAAGAACTCTTTCTTTGCACTTACAGCTTGGATAATTGTTTAGTACAAGAGGCTTACCTTACAGCCTATTTTGGCCTTTCTCACTAAGGTTAATCATTTCTAGCTGTTCATTTAAAATGAGAGATATTTGACTCTTCCTTTCATTTAAAATTTTTAAATTAAATGTGGGATTATTAGCTGGCCTAATTTCAATATTATTATGGTGTCCCAAAGAATAGGAAGGGATAAGGAGAGAAAAAGAGAGACAGAGGAATAGTTGATTGGTAGAGCAACCAAGACACACACTTAAAATGTATTAATCTCCTCATCATCTCACATGGACGTGGGTCTTGGGGCCCCCAAACAAGTACAGAGTAATATCAAAGATCAGCGATTAGAGATCACCATAAAGGTACGATTACAATAAGAAAAATTTTAAAATGGTATGAGAATTGCCAAAATGTGACACAGACCCTATATTTACTGAGGTAAGTACATGCTATTAGAAACTGTAGATAGAGTCGTGTGACACAGGATACCAACCTTCAACTTGCAAAAATAGCTATGTATAAGAAGCACAATAAAACAAAGATAAATAAAACAAATTATGCCTTTCCATCTATCCCCTGGAATAATTTGGGTTAGTCTCTACTTGCTGTCTATTTTGAGGGGTTAAAGGCCATATTTTAGGTTAGGTTCCTTCAAAAATGTATTGATTTATTTGTTTTGTCTTATCAAGCAGTTAATTTGGCCTAATTCAACCTGTAAAAATCTATATCCTCAGGGTATGTATCAGCTAAAATATCAATTACTTTAGCTGAGGGTGAGTTGCTTAGATAAGGGGTAAACCAGAATTTGGAAAGACTACATGCAACTTTGAGCTCTTGCTGTATCTTCTCCAGACACTGCCTCACTTCCACAGCGGCTATGGCTGCCTTGATCCCTAATCTCTAGTCTTCGGGCCAAAATGAATACATATTTCTACCAGATGTTTTGCTTCTCTGTGTGATGTAAACTGTATCCTGACCTTAGTCCAATCACTTTTCAAAAATAAAAAAGGAACCCACCAAATTTCATGTCTTTCTTTCAATATTCATAATGATTTATAAGATATTTAAGACTTATTCTTAAAGCAGTTTTAGGTTCATAGCAAAACTAAACAGAAAGAGAAGTCCTATATACCTCCTGCTCTCCTGCTGTCGACATTATATACCACAACTGTGCATTTGTTGCAATCAGTACCTTAACACTGATACATTATTATTGCTCAAAAGTCATAGTTATATTAGGGTTCATTCTCGGTCTTGTATATTCTGAATTTTGAGGTGCACATAATAAAATATGGCCACACTGGTCCCCCAGAAATCCTATGTCCTACTGATCCTTCCTTGCCCCTCATCTCTGAAAACCAATGGTATTTTTACTGTTCTACAGTTTTGCTTTTTCCAGAATATTTGTAGTTGCAATAATACAGTAAATAACCCTTTCAGATTGGCTTCTTTCATTTAGTAATATTCTATCTTTCAAGTTCTGACCATTATATAGTTGGTTTCCCTTATATACTTGGTTTTGACCATTTGTTAAGGAGTTATTTCATCCAGAAATCATAGTTATTATCTGTGGGAAGGTTGACCTGATATAAGTTTCTCAGCCATTAAAGAAGCAAAAGTTTTAAACATAAATGAATACATTTAATACAAATAACCAGACTCTGACTACAGATCAAAACATATATATCATAGCTTATCTTAGATTATCTGTAATTATTGAATTTCAGGGTAGAAGTAGACCATAAGGATCACCTACTGCACTGATAACAGGTTTGGAAGATGAATCTTAATACTCTTCACATACAATGAAATATCATAATTTCATTACTTGTGATGTACTATGTACAACAATTATGTTCTAATATGTTCTATATAGCAAACCTGTCAAGGCTGTTTCACGAATAGATTTAACTTGTAGAAAAACTTCTCCTTTAAGTGAAGTCCAATCTTTAAAATTATCATTCATTTCATTTTTAATAGTAGTTAGCTCCTTTTTAGTAGATGAAAGCAAAGAACAAGTCTTCTTCCATAAATAGTTGGACTCCAACAATTTTTGACTACAAAGTAACAAAATAAAAAAATTAGGATTTTTGAAAATAGTAGGCATAAGAAATATTTCTTTGAATTGATTATAGAAGGATCATATAATCTACTATCTAAATGAGCCAATTTTGAAAATGAAAGGTGTGATAGGTATAATGCTGAGACAACATAAACCAGAAATATCTCTAGAAGAATGAACTATATGTCTATGCCAACTCAATTCCACTTTTAACTACAAGGAAAGTTATACATATTACAGTGTTTTTATTAATTCAACAGCAGACCTTTAGAAAAGAAAGTCTGGCCAGAGCAGTTTGGTAAAAGAGCCTAAACAAGGCTCTCAGATCACCTGTTAGGATATTCTCCCAGTGCTCTTGCTTTATCACAGGCCATAATAGTTCAAAGTAATAACATATTTCTGTCATCTCAGTTACATCACTTCAGACATCCTCCTTACTGATTTCCTTAATAATCAAGCTGGATGTAGACATAGATTTGGGAGTTATATGCAAAAAGGTGATGACTGCAGCTGTGGGAGGTAGTTACTTGGCCAATATTTGTGGTCCCTAGTAAACTAGGATCTATGGTACGAAACTGAATTTGTCTTGCTCATCATAATCTCCTTACTTAGTATTTAGCACAGCACCCACGATACTGTAGTGCTTAATAAATAATGACCAATTATTTATTGTCCATATGCTCAGGATAACACATGGACAATACTGACATTTAAGGGACTAAACAGTAAAGCATTTTTCAAATTTTCTCAAAGCGAGGACTAATTAATGAATTAGAAGAAAAAAGAACAAAAGAAAAAGTATCAGAAAAGGTAGAAGATTTCAAGAAGAAAGCATTAGTCTGTGTTAAAAGCCTCAGATAAAGACTAAAGAGAGTTCTTTTTAGTTTGTTTTGAGGAGGCCTTTGATGACCTTGAAGAAAGGTCTAGCCTAGGTAGGAGATGCCTGAGCAGTGCAGCACAAGTCAGAACAGTCACTCTGTGGCACCCTCTACCAAGAGTCTTGACTGAGGAGGCCACAATGGGTGTAAGATGGTCCAGGAGGATGAGATTCACCCAAGTGCGAACATAGTGAAGCAGACAATGAATCTGCGTAGTCACAGAGGCAAAACAACACAGACGGATGAGATCACTTCTTGTGAAAATCCATAGAAAAGTCAAATAGGAAACAAAGTTTAAAAGATTTGTCTCTTCCATGAAGGATGGTGTGCTTCTGTGAGTTAAGTAAGGTGATTCAGTCAGCGTGCACAGCTAAGATGGTTCTTGATTTCAGAAAGCAGAGGAAGATTACAATCTGGGAGCCAAATGTGAGAAGGGGAAGCCTGAATGTGGAGACGGGAACTGATCTGGCAGAGGGCCAAGGACCAAGAAGTAAGTCTAGTTAGGGGACTATTGTGAGGTGCTGTGGGGAGCACTGAGATCAAGCTCCAGCCATGGAGCTCAGAGCCTTACAGAACATTTAACAGAAGGAAAGATGATGTGGCTATGGATGCCTCTGTGAGGAGAAAGGCGATAAACAAAACGAGCTGATCAACCAAGACTAGAGCTCAGTTTTGTGAAGCCTAAGTCTACTATATAATTTCTTGGAAAGCACAAGAGTGGTAACAAAATTAGTTTTAAAATGTGTAATTGTCTACTGAATAAGAAAAATCACAAAAAAAAGAAAAATCACTATAAGTAAAATTTAGAAGTTCATAACTTTCACTAGTATCACAAAATATAGAAACACAACATAAGTTTTTCTAACAGTTGTATAAGAATCTAAAGATGTCTAGCAACTCCAAAATCTTACCTTTTTCTAGAAATAATGGAACTCACAAACCAGTTTATCCTAGATGTCATCCTTGAAGTAATATAGAAGTGTGTGTGTGTGGTAATTGGAATTGCAGGAGCACTCGACTGAATCACATCGTTAGTCATTTTCATTTTTTATTTTGAGACAGCCTTGCTAAATTGCACAGACTAGTTTCAGTCTTTTGATCCTCCTTCAGTAGATGGAATTATAGGTAGACAACACCACTCTCAGCCTATTATGACTTTTATATTCAATAATGTCAATAATTTTTCTCAAATCAGGAGGAAGCAAATATTTCTCCAGGGTATATGAATAACTCCTATTCATTAGATTATCAAGTAACTCAAAAACTTTTATTGAAAACTTATTTTCTTTTATTGAAAATTTATTTCATGTGATATGAAAACGTTATTGATATAATTTTCTTTTTTATGCCTAAATCATTTTCATTGCTTACATTACTCATGTTTACTTTTATTTCAATCGTTTAAGAGTTTATATAACCAAGTTTTTAGCCTGTAACTCTTTACTTGTTTTATTGAAACTGTTCTAAACTGTCTTTCCAACGGGCAATTATAATGATGTATTCTCAAGTCAACTTTCCCTTAGAGAGTCCCCAAGCCTACAATTACTCCAGTGGCACAATGACATCATAAGGGGGACAGAGAGAAAATTGCAATGGAAAGTGAATTTTTAAACAATTAAAATCAAACCATCTACTTTTACCAGTGGCCCTCCCAGAACTCTGGAAAGAAGTCTTCAGTGGGAGGATCTGCAACTTAAACACTTACTTCCCAGTAAATCTGTCTGAGTTGGATACCTTACTGTTCTCTGTAATGTGGCTGCTCAGAGATGCGTAGTACTGACGAGCCTAAGCTGAACTGCAAGGGATTCTAAGGAATCTAGTGCTTAACAGCCCGCAAGTAGACATCAAGACCGAGGGTTTGAGGGCCGGCCAAATAGCTCAGTAGCAGGCGCAGCGGCCATGGGTTTGATCCCCCAGGGCATGCCCCCAGGGCATGATGAGACAGCAATTGAGACTGGATGCTTTGGCTTGTGCCTGTAATCCCAGTCCTTGGGAGGCTGTAAAACAGACAGGTCACTACTAGTCCGATCTAGTAGTGAGTGAGACCCTGAACACCCTGTAGATCCTTCCCTAAAATACAAGAAAAAAAAATTACTGAGGGTTTGAAGATAAATACAATTAAGCAAGTAGAGGTAAAAGGTCTTGGCATATTAGCAAACTCTATTTAGAAATAGCCTCCTATATAGAAAAACACAGACACACACATACACACACAAATATTAGAGTAAATAAGTTTATGAAGGTTAAGAATAAAAAAAAAACTACATGCAAAAACCAATTTTATTTCTATACACTTCAATAACCAATTCTTGAAAATAAAATCAGAAAAAAGCCTCATTAATAAGATAAAGAAAATAAATCATTTATAAGTAAATTTAATAAAGGAAGTACAAAAGAGCAAAATACAACAGTTCCAAGGGAACTAAAGATCTCTATGGAAAGACGCAGCCATGAACATGCATTAAAAAATTCAATATTTAAAAGTGACAATTCTTTCCAAATTGATCTGCACTGTAATAGTTTACCTTTCAACATTCTAGTAGTCTACTTTGCAAAACTAAAGTGATCCTAAAATACATAGGAAAATGCAAGAAACCCAGACTAAGCAAAATAATCTTCAAAGCAGAGAAGAAATCTGGAGGGCTTAAATGTCTTGATTTTAAAACTTACTGAAAACAGCAGCATTCAAGAGTGTGGCTAAGGAACACACATAGATTAATGGAATAGATCAGAGTACCTAGAAAAAATCTTTTCTGTTCATGGTAAACTGACTTCAGCTAAAGGTCCAAGGCAATTCAATAGGAAAAGGAGCTTTTTCAGCAAATGGAGCTAGGTAAATTGAATATCCACAGGAACAAAAAAGATGTATAACTTCTCACCTCATACATGAAACTAAATTAAATGACTCATAGATCTAAATACAAGAGCTAAAATAAAAAAAATCTTTAAAAGTTAGAAAAACTAAGGAAAAAGTCTTTGTGACTTTGACTTAGGCAGTTCTTATATAGTACAATCCATAAAAAAGATGAATTATTTATAGTTCATCACAAAATAACAACTTAGGCTGGGGAGACAGCTCAACAGCATAAGCTTCTTCCTGGCAAGTGTAAGGCCCTGAGTTCGATCTCCCTACCCCAAAAAACTCTCTTATGTCTTCAAAGCACACCACTAAGAAAATGAAAATATAAGCCACAGTTTAGGAGAAAATAATTGTAAATCATATTTCATATAGATGACTTTTACCCAGAATAGATGAAAACTATAAAAAATCCCGTCATAAAAAGATTTATAAATGGGCAAAAGATTTCAATAGATATTTCATTAGATAAGATATACATGTGATTAATGAGCATATGAAACAATGTTAAGCATCATCAGGCATTTAGAAAACACAATTCAAACCCACAGAGATAATATTTCACACACACTAGAAAGGACATAATGAAAAAAAAATAAAGGACAATAGTAAGTGTTCATGAGAACCTGGAGAAACTAGAATCCTCATTCCTTGTGGGAATATAAATTGTATAGACAGTTTGAAAACAAGTTGGCAAGTTCTTAAAAGCTAAATATAAATTAACCACAAATTGATAAGTACATGTGATATATCCATACAATGAAACATTATTTAGCAATAAAAAGGGATGAAATGTTAATAAATGCCACAACAAAGATAAACCTCAAGAACAAATAGCGAAAGAATTCAGATACAAGACCACATATTGTATGATTCTATATATCTGAAATATCTAGAAAAATATAATTCTATTGAAACAGAAAAATGTTTAATGGTTTTATAGAAAGGACAAGGGGCAAGAATAAAGGCTGATAATAAATGACTTAAGTCTTTCAGAGAGTGACTCAACTGTTCCAATACTGGTAGCTTGTACAACTCTGTAGGCTTATTAAAGTTATTAAATTGTCCACTTAATGGGGGTGGGTTTTATGGTTCGCAAATTATGTCTCAATGAAGCTACTTTTAAAAAGATTTATGGTGATAAACTAAAGGATCAAAGTTAGAAAACAAAATAAATCTGGAAAATAAGAAAAAAAATACTGGAAGCCTCAATAAAATGAGAGGGCTAAGAGGAAATATTTTTGAAATGAGCTTTGAACATATTAGAAATGGTCAAGATTTCAAATAAGAAAAATTAAAATCTAAGTGAAAGAGAGAGACAGAGAGAGACAGAGACAGAAACAGGGACAGAGAGAAACAGAGACAAAGAGAGAAAGAAAGTCCAACCAAGCTGGCCTTAAACTCACTACATAGCCCAGGCTGGACTTGAATTCACAGTGATCCTCCTGCCTCAGCTTCCCAAGTACTGTGATTACAGGCATGCACCACCATGTCTGACAAGTATAAGTACTTTTTTTTTTTTAAATTTTATTTATTTGTGTGTGTGTGTGTGTGTGGCCAGCTCAGCCCGCCAGGGGGAGGGGCTGGCTGGCATGTGGTGCTGGGGATTGAACCAGGGTCCCTATGCTTTGCTAAGCTTGTTCTAAGTAGGTGCTTTAGACCACTGAGCCATCTCACCAGCCCCCTAAGTACTTTAATTTCAAAATCTTATGAAAGATTCATAGGAGTCCTCTAAAAGTGAACAATGTCAGAATACTTTGAACACAACCTAATTTAGAATTGGATCTGTACAATTTTATATGAAGTATAGAGTACTTACCTTCCACACTGACTTTTAGTATCTATTTTATAGACCTACAGGTAATTTTCATTTTCAAAGGATAAGCTGTTCTGAAGAGTGCCTGTGCTAGGCCAAGTGAGCATACCGTACATACTTGCTGTGAGTCTCACACAGAAGAAATGTTGGAAATGATGTCAGGAAAAACACAGAGCATGAAGAACACTTTGCTGGAGGCTAAGTGATTAAGCCCAGTTGTAATTAAATGAATGAAAATAATCTAGAGTTATGTGACCCCAAACCACAGATCACTGAAGTATTACATCTGAGGAGAATGTTCATGCCTCTCTCCTTTACCAGTTTAAAAAAAGATCATAGCTCCTTTTCTTTATTGGAAGGACTTGTTGAGTTTCATATTCTGATAGATGCTTTTATTTATTTTTATTTTTATTTTTATTTTGCAGTACCAGGGGCTGAACTCAGGACCCTACACTTACCAGGCAAGCGCTTATTCTACTGAGCTATCTCCCCAGCCCTCTGATAGATGTTTTTAAATAATCAATAAACCAGTTTAAATCAGTTTCTAAAGACACAATAAATCACTGAAATCTATAGCCTTTGGTTTGATTTGATTTGATTTTTACCAGGATATCTTTTCCTAGGTATCTCCTAGTAAAAGATTAATAAAAAATAATTATTTTCATGCTTTATCACACACTTTAATTTGTACCAAATATACAGTTGGTTACTCCGAAGTTATTTTTAGTATGTACTATTTCTTTATATATCAAATTCCAAACACCTAATTTGTGACTTTTTAGCCAAAAACAGAAAAAAAAAATCACAGATCTATGGAAAATGTGAACAAAATAAACAGTACAGCTCAGGAATGAAATTCATGCCTAGCATATACAAGGCAGTGGATTTAATCCCCAGCATCACAAGTAAATGAATAAACAATAATATATAATTCAAAATCAAAGTACAGAGCAAAAGTCTAAAATAATATGCCCAAATTTCTTCAATAGTTTGAAATATTGCAAATAATATGCAAAAAATGCAAACGATGAATATCAACTGTTTCAGTTCCATAACATCCTAAAGCAACAGTAATTCTGTGATCTACTCCTGGCTTACCTTTAAAAATGTAGTGAATCTCACATCCATGTTCACACTGGTTAATAAAATAGCTGCGACTTCCCTTAGTACCTAGGTCAAAATGTTATAGGAGCCAAGAACTAACCCTCATGGTCCTGACTAAAATATAAGAGTTGGGGCAACCTACTGGTTCACTAGGTTCCTAAAAAAAGGCCAAAGGACTTCTAACAAAATCTGGTCATCTGTGTTAGGTTTCACTCATTCATTAATTCATTTAAAATCACTTAGCATGGATTATGCGTGAGGCATTTATGAAAGGAAGATGGCCTGTATATTATCATTAGAGATCTTGTCAATCTTTATGAGTTTCCATTTTCTAAGGATAATCTTAGCTAAAGATTTGTGATTTTCTGTGTTTAATTTTTAATTCACTAGAGAATGGGTAAAAAAAAATTCATTAGCCTAAAGAATTTTTTAACAGAATGCTCTTGTAAATAATTTGATTAAAACAAACTCTAACAGGGTCAGAGAGATACCTCAGTAGAATAAGTGCTTGCCTGGCAAGTGAAAGATCCTGAGTTTAATCCCCAGTAATGAAAAAAAAAAAAAAAACCTAAACTAAATTCAAAATACTCAGTATATTTTGATTAGTCTGTACCTGTGTCACTACCATGTTGATTTGCCTCCCCTTCGCTAAGAGCTAAAAGTTACTCAAATCCATAAGAATCATTCTTTCTTATAAACATCTGAATATATCAGTGCTATTTTTGAGAAAAAATGTACTCCCTAGTTTCTTCAAAATATGGGATTTTATCTTTAGGCATTATAATGCCAAAGATGGCATACAAGCAGAATTAGCAACATTTATGTTGGAGATTTCTAAATTTAGAAGATTATTATCATTTAGAAAGTTGTCCTATTCCATTATTTTACATCACTGCACTCCAGATATCAAACCTGACTTGAAATGCTGATCAAGAAAATAATGGACCAGCGACTGTGCTTTCATTTTAAATGTTACTATAAAATAAGGACAAAACAGAATGAGATGTTTGTGCAATTTAAATTTTAATAGTAAAACTTTCAGTAGATATAATAGCTATAAAAGTAATTTCCATTTGCCCAATTGTACCAGATATAGAAATCATATTACTAAAATGCATCTGAATACTTATAAAGTTAATATTGAATATATTTTTTCAATCTTAGGATAATCATTTTTCTAAGGATAATCTTACCTTAAGATTTGTGATTCTCTGTGTTTAATTTTTAATTCATGTTGTGAACAACTTAATTCTTTCTGTACTCTCTGGAATTCATTTTCTTGATTTTTTAACTGCATGTTTGTTCTAAAAATATAAACAACATTCATTATAAGCTTCAGTAGTGAACAACATTATTAAATGAAATAAGTATACTATCATAGAAATAAGTAGAAGAAAACTATGTAACTTTATATATGTTAATATGAACATATAGAAAAAATATGGAGAGCAACACATCAAGAAGCCATTACATCTAGGGAAGAGAGTGGAAGTTAGATGCGGGGGGAGGGGAGGAACAAAGAATACTGAAGGAAAGCAGAACTTTTATTCTATAATCTTTCTTATTGCTCTTTTTATAACGAGGTGTTTATGTCAATATTGATTAAAAGATAAGTTACTATGAATGTAATTTTAATTAAAGATACACATACTATAAAATGTCAATAGTACTGAGCTATAAGAAAAACCAGTTATCATTTCCTTTTATCCTAATTTTGACTGCCAAAGGCAACAACATTCCATTTTCTTCTATTTCTACTATCTATCTCAATATTACTAAACATCTCATTTATACTATTTTTTAATATTTCATTTTAGATGTTATCTGTAAGGATCCGTTGGTATCTCAGTATGATCCATCATACCTGGGGAGAAAGGGTGGCAGGAATGAGGAAAAGATGGACAAGAGCACAAGAGCTGGGTTAGGTGGTGGTTCTTCCGCCTGGTTGGCACAACAACCCTCAAACAACAGAAAGAGCCTTTATTTACACATTTACAGAGTTGCAGGACACAGGATTCCCTAGGGACCAATAGCTCACATTGTCCAGGCAGGATGTTTTTCTCAAGACTGAGGTAGCTTGATTGCTTTAGGCAATGAGGCCTCATCCTGCCCTCCCATATAGGATCAATTTCAGCTTCAGCTGCACCCAACAGTTATCTAGTGAATTAGTAATCAGGCAAGATCTGGTTCTGCTCCATAGACCTAAGGCTTGAATAGGGTCACATATATTGTTCTACATAAAACAAATATATTGGTAGCCATTCCAATGCATGATGTGTATAATGTAATGTGGACCCTAGGATCCTTCTAACTCTCTGGCCTACTATCTTTGGTGTGTGTACTTTATACCCATAGTATATGCTGGCAGAAGCTCCAATCATTACAAATCCATTCCAGATAACAGCAGAAACAGAAGAGCCTGTTATCATATGTAAGTACTTCTGCTGAATTTAAGCACATGACTAAACCTAGCTGCAGGACCAGGATGTAGTCCTTTACCTGAGATCATCCCCAATTATATTTAAGGTTCTGCTACTATGATGTAAAGGAAAATAGATATTAGGGCTGACAGCTAATAAAAATTGACTATCCTACACATAACTACATACCTACTTATCCTCTCATCTTCTCAATAAAGTTAAATCAATCTTTTTATTAAGTTATACTCATATTTACATTATTCATTTGTGAGCCATATTATTATGCCATGATTACATTTATTTTTGTGTACAACTTGTTGTTATACCTAGAATGAACAATCTCTTTTTCCTCTTAGTTTTCTATATATCTATAATTGATTCTCTTTCAGTGTCAACACTGGGAGAAGGTGCATTGCATTGTTTTTACAACTTTGTACAAACCTAAAATTTTGCAATGAAAAGTTTAAAATATGACTTGTAAATACATACAATAAGCCATTTATATATGCCAAATGTACTTATACTATAAATTATGGTATAAAATAGTGGTACATTTTAAATTTTGGAAGTTATACAACATTATTTTAACAGCAAAAAAGAAGGGAAATACATTGACATTCATCCTGTATGGCTAGGTATGTTTCCATACATGGCCAGTATTAGGGGAACAGTAAAATGAATTATGAAAAGTAAAATGAAATGTTATGCAAAAACCTTTTTTTAAGAATGAAGGAGATCTCTATATCTTGGAATGGAAATAATGCCAAGACTTATTACAAGAGAACAGCTCTAACTTATAGATCAATAAGTATCACATTAAATCATGTATTTTTATAATACTTCTCTGTATAAACATATATATTTAGTTTTTAAAAAACTAATTGGGGGCTGGGGAGATGGCTCAGTGGAATAAGCACCTCCCTGGCAAGTGCAAGGGCCTGAGTTCAATCCCCGGTTCCGAAAAAAAAAAAAACAAAAAACAAAAAACTAATTGAAGGACTGGCCAAATAGCTCAGCGGATTAAAGCTTCTGCAAGCAGGCACAGGGGCCAGGGGTTCGATCCCCAGGCCTGCTGTGCCAGCCCTGCCCCCAGGGCACGCTAAAATGGCAAGAGAGATTGGGCATAGTAGCGCGCACCTGTAATTCCAGCTCTTGGAAGGCTGTAAACTGGAGAATCACTATGAGTCTAATCTAGTAGTGAGACCCTGAACACCCTGTAGACCTTTACCTCAAATAAAAAAAAATAAAAAAAAAAAGAAAAGAAAAAAAGAAAAAAAACTAATTGGAACAACCTTCACTAATGCTAAATCAGGGTTATACCCAAGTATACCCAGTTACTATAGCACACCACTCAATGGTAATTTTTTAAAATGTGCATGTATTAAACCCTCATTAATAAAAGCTTACTCCAATTACTAAGATTCACTCAGAAAAGAATTCTCAAACTGTGTTTTTATGAAACATTTCCTTTTCTGAAGTAAAAACATGCACACTAAAACACTCTCTAAAGTCAGTTCTCTGAAAATATTGACACAAAGGAGTATTAAATATAAATAACATCTCAAACCCTCTCACTACTCACTGAAAAGTAGTTTATTCTGTTTGGCTATGGTAGTACACTCACTTTCCTCAAATCAAATTAGATGGTTAAAAAGTACATGTCTAATAAATTATCCATGTTCATTTTTACTGTACATATTATATAAATTCTGTGAAATAAACAATTTACAAAATACTACAATAAGGATGTACTGTGCAAGCACACCATTTTCTCTGGCAGTCATAATGCTGCACAGAATTTGAACACTGTTGATAGAAGGACACGATGTTGTCTAGTCAGAGAGTGTTCCTGAAAATAGTGGAGACTAACAGCATGTTCTAGTGGAGAGAGCCCTGTACTGGGAGTTAGATGACCTGTATTATAAGCCTCTTGCCAACGCAACCATGAGAACAAGCACATTTATTATCCTTATCTATTTCCCAGTTCTTTTTAGTCAACTTGATTAAAATGGATCATGTGAGAATCACTGAGTTGTAAAACAAATGAAGAAAAGGTATTATAGTCCTTTATTTTCATTTGGATTATCTATTAATATTACTCATAACAAAAATAATCTAAAAGAAAATGCTTCAAAACTCTCTTTTAACTTATCTCCACTGTAGAATCAAATGTGTTATAAAGAAGAAGAAAGCTGATGACATTTTTGAGGATTTCACCACCTGTAATCTAAAGATAAATACATTTTTACCCTTTCCCTCAAACTAATTTTTCAGCAATCAAAGATGACAGATGGAAGTTCAGAGTCTGAAAAATGAATTGGGGGTTTTCAGAATTACATTCTACTAAGGCCTCACAGGCAGAGGCACCAAACATCAAGGGGAGAATCAGGATCATAACAATAAAATTAATGAAAATGAAAGAATATTTCAGTTCTTGGGAAACAAATTTCAGAAACTGACATGTATCTGCCAAGCATGAGAAAGGACCTCTGTAATTTCTCCTTTGGAATTAACCACTATCCAAATACATTGGGAAAATTAAATTATCTTTCAAGAAAAGTAGGAATAGGGTATGGGAAGTCCAAGTTGTATAGATAAATAAATCACTTATGATTCAAAAAAATAGAGACAGTATAAGCAATTATTTTGCAGGGTTCATTCTGTGAAATCCTAGAGGCATAAGCCAAAACCACTTTACCTATCATCAGAAGCATCAGAGCTTCAAAAATGTCAATAGGAAAAATCCACCCAACAGAAATATCAATATGCAAGTATATAGAACAGCAATAATACAGTATTTAAAACAAAGTTATTTGCAAATACAAACCTTAATTTACATCAAATAATATTCTTCAGTTTTTATTTAGAAAATTAATCTGATTCACATCTTCCTAAAAAATTCATTACCAAAATATAACTTTTTATAGAGTAGTTTTAATTTTATGCCAGGGGCATTTATGTACATTATTAATGTATTTAAAATACCTTAAAATTTAAATAGAAAGATACCTTGAATTGGTATAAATCACTGTTGCCTAATGTCCAGATTATAACATTACTTGAATTTCCTACATAGGCTTCCTAAGCTAGTCTTGAACTCCCAGAAGTCCTCTTAGCTCAGCCTCCTGAGTGCTGGGATTTATAGGCATAGCTGCCATATCCAGCTATATCAGGTTAATTTTATTTATTTATTTATTTTTTAAATTTTTTTAATTTTTTATTTATT